GGTTATAAGATTCATTCTACAAGAAATAAACTTCACATATTTAATTAAGCTTAATATAACTAAGCACCAGTGTGCAAGTTTTAATATGCAAATAAGCTAATTATTATGCATGAATGCAGACCATAGACACATCAGAACTTGATTTTTCATTAGAATTGCTTCATCAACATTCTACAGTATATATGTGTATCTACACAGACACACAGGCAGTGCTACAACATTGGCTTCTCTTCAAAAGACAAATTGATCATTACTTTTATGAGCACAACTGTAAGTGGAAACAATGTGACAGACAGATTAAGACTCACCTCATAGGCTCCTTTTGAGGATCTAATTAATTTCCCCAATAAATTAGCTACCATACTGGCTATATGTACAAATGGACCCTGAAATTCAAAAAGATAAGTCAGAGATGCACAATAATTAAAAGGTCCTAAGGCCGCCACTGAAATATTCCCTGCTAAAAAAAATTTCAAAAAATGTCTCTTAAGTAATTAAAGGGCAGTGGTTGTTGCACTGCACATGTTTGAATCATGTGTCAATAAACATGCATTTTATACATCGCTGTGAGTCCCATATGAAACATGACACCGCTCCACCACTGCTGTTTAAAGCATTTTACAATGAGCACATAAACATATGTTTCAAGTGTTTCAAGAATATTGCTGCAAGTGATCAATCAGTTGATAGGAATTTTCTATTTTTTGAAAACAGTCAGCAAGATTGATTATATTTTTGTTCAAAATGAACCATGCTTTGTATACTTTTGTACATAAAAACAAATACCAGTCAAATCTTCTGAAGGACCTCTAGAGGGCAGATGCAAATTTCCACCATAGAGGGCGCTATGACACATTTTTTTTACCTCTTTTCCTATTGGTAGACTGCTTCCTATAGAGGTTGCCAAGCCTACCATTTTGGATATTAATGTTCTGAATGTTAAATATTCTTTAAGAATAACTCCTCGTAGAATGGTTTTCATCTCAGGAATACCAGAACCTAAAGAATAAAAGATTGCATCTTATCTACCATCTTTCACATAGAAGTAAAGTGAATTTCGAATCAAACAAATTTCTTCTTGAAAAGGTTAGGAGGCAAACAACATACACGACATGATTGCTACATTGTAGGTGAAGGGCTATTATGATCTATATTTGGAATATGTAGTAAAATGTAATGGCAAGTTGTCCATGCATACTATAAACTGTAATTATTCACTGGTTTTGCTATTTTCACTGATGAGAAAATCCACTGAATTAAATCCATATAAACATGTGAAATAGAACATGAAACTCATTGTTTTCCTGGGACAGGTAAATGAATAACATGCCTGTTCATGCGGACAGGTGAATAAAGATATCAACTTTAAACTAACTGACCAAGTTGATAATGTCCAAAAAAATGCTTTTAAGTTTTAAGACTTACAGTATGTAATGATGAGCTAAAATTAAATTTCAAATAATATGTAGTAATTTATCTTGCCAGGAACAGGTACATCATCAATCAGGACAGACATTTTTATTCTCCAACCTGTCCAATGAACAGGTAATTTTTATCACTGTAAAAGGGGTAATTATTCACTGTGTTTTAAATTTGCTTATTTCGCTGACTGGAAAATGCGATGAAATTGAAACCCAGTGAATATGTAAAATTTAGCATAAAACACATTATCTAAATGATAAAACCGTGAATTTAAAACACACTGAATATGCCTGAAATGTTAAATCAGTGAAATTTAAACCCAGTGAAAATTAGTCATTTTACAGTCATTTTTAATTTCAACTATGTATAGTATTGGGTTCCTCTTATCTATATATATATATATATCTAAGTCTTACCTATGGCATTGGGTCCCACCAAGTGTGTAAATCCTGTAGAAAACATTATGAATACTATGGGAAACGACACCCATGCCAAGTACTGTGGAAATGGATTGCCTTCTAATTCATAGAAAAACCATACGTGTGCTGAAACAAATTAAAAAGCGCTGTTACTTTATATGATGTTTTACCATGAAAAATTATTGTCAATGATTTCATCATGATGATAATATTATTATAATTAGTCATAACACAAGCATTGCTTAAATATATCATTCTGATTGGGCAAGCAGATGTATTTAATTATGAAAGCCATGGCTTAAATATAAATGTAGATGAAATATCACAGTGCTTCATGTTTTTGAAGTAGGACCCGAACATGAATAATACATATATGATATGGGTTCAATACAACATGCGTAAAATACATCATTTGATTACTAGAGATTTTCAACAACTTTGGCACTCCGTAAAAACTAGAAAGAGGATGCAGGGATCTAAAAAAAATAGACCATTAGATTGGGTTTTGAACCCCTTGGATATTTGTTTGTTGCAGTGTCTCAGTTATTTTACAGAATATTGATAACATCGAGTATTTAATATGATAAATATTAAATATTGATATGCATGTAAGGTGATATGCCATGAAGACTGCATTCTACATGCTCACCAATTGGTGGTTATTTCTAAAACAAATGGCATCACAGAACACATTGAACAGTGGGAAAGATTCAACTGTGTACACAAAAATTATCTCTGTATTCCTAATCAAAAAATGTACTTTGTAAATAAATTAGAACCCCAGCAAAGCAGACTGAGATGAACCTGATTCTTTCACAAACTCAGACATTTGAATTTACTATTTAGTTTGTCTTGTGATTTTTTTATTATTTCTCAATTTGTGTTACTTGATAGTGAGATCTTCTTTGTATATCACACTAGTTGCATAACCTTATCTTATAAACCCTTGATAATAGTATACGTGACATAATCTTACCTTTTTGAAATTTTGCAATAGTATAATCTAGACCAAATGATAAAAGAGCCATAATAAATCCCAATAATAATAAAAATATCCAATCTTCACCGAATCTGGCAAATATCACAGATTTACACAAATAAAAGTAATCTAGAAAAGAAAATATTATAAATTTATTATCATAACATGAATTTTATAATAATATTATTTAATATGAAATGTGACGACATCTAACAATTACAACTAGTTAATACAGGTAACAGTGAATTCATAATGTCATGTGGTGACTGAATTGGCCATTTATTGGATATGTTCTTAATATAAAATAAAAATATTGACTACTTTATCGAACCAATAAAATACGTTGACCATTATTTTTGACCAATATTAAATTGTATTGGTGAAAAACTAAGACAAAAATATGTGAAAGAAAAAACGTTAAACTAAATTTTGAATAGCCATCCTCAGACCAATGCCAGAATAAAACAGTTGGCAAAAATTGGAATGTTCCAAAAAAATTGCAGTACTTACATTTACAAGTAGCACAATATTTATCTCCAAAATTTGAAATCACAGCCTCATCTGCTCTTTCTTTTTCACGTTTTAATCTTGCTGCTTCCTTCTTTGCATATGATCCTAGTTCCTTGGTGTATCGGCCATACATCTAGCCAGGCAAAAAAAACAATCATGAATTCAAAACAATTAATAAAAGCATTTGGTAAAAATAATCCTCAAATTTGTATGTTATCAGTTTACATTAGGCATGTGTACATTTTGAAATAGCCAAACAAAATAGACCATGAGATTTTGTGGAGAGCGAGAGAACTACATGACTTGTTTTTTCCCTTTAATAGTTTCAAATTTCTCTAGTCATCTCATCAGCTTTTACAAAATACCATGGTTACACAGATGGAGGAAACAGGGGATACAGCAATAATAGAAACGAAACACTATTCAAAACAAATCTCTTTGCTCTCTCATACTTAACAAGATCTAAGCAGCCAATCGTATCTAAGAATTATTTGGTCAATTATCGATCCTACTTTACACTACATTTCATCAATTGTTATTCAAATTGGCCACCATTCTGTGATTTAATGTTTCCATGGAAACAAATTCACGAACCCAGTCTGCTCATTTTCGATCACTCTTCACACATTATGTCTAAAATCATTTCACGATGGCACCCCTCCTTATTTTTACCCACCCCGCCTTATTTCTATCCATTCCTGCTTATTTCTATCGATCCTGCCTTATTTC